TGAGCGCGGATCTACATAAACATTCATCAAGCCATGCTGTGGTGGCATCCCATATACAAAATACAGGAAGACTGGCACAGATGTTAGCTGGGGGACAATCTTCCTCACCAAAAAAAAAAAAAAAGTCTGTAAATGAAAAAATCGAAGTATTACATTACTGATCACAAATTTCGGAAAAAATCTAACAAAATTACACCACATCTTCACATACAGTGGGATTATTCCAATTCTTCCATCAGATAGAATAAATTACCCTACCATTTCTTACAGAAGCAGTTGGAAGTAAAACAAACCTCTAACTACCAATGGATGTGGCCCTTATCACCTTAGTCTTGAACATTCTTACCATCTCGTCTAGGTACCGTATTTTTTTTCCATATGGAGGAAAGCTGTGGCTCTCCCACTCAGCTGCAGGCGACCCAAGTTCTTTTCACAGCATCTGCCTTAGGATGATGCTCTTTTCTCATATAATTTGTCACAGTGCTTAGCTCTCTGCCAGGCTGGCCTGGGAGAGGCTTCCTATAGGCGTTTTAGTACCTACTCCCTGCTTTACAGAGACAGTATCCTACTCCATCTCAGAAATATAGAGCAGAGCAGGTTTTTAAATATCTTATGGGGCTCTCCCTCCTACTCCTCATTACACCTGTGAAGATCAATCTGTTTTTCTGTGATGAGAAAGAATGTGAAAGAGAAAGAAGGCTTTGACTGGCCAGTTAGATTCCACAGGCAATAAGCACACCAACTTCTTCCCCAAAGCTCATTCCCAGTCTCACGAGTGTACATGAGGAAAACAGACATGAAATGGGCATTGACAGAATCAGAGACGCTATGCATGTTCATTCCCCTTCATTAAAAACATTAAGTTACAAACATTTTGATTCATAAATAGTCAAGGTGGGTGGTACCCCTAGTTCCCTACCCTGAAATCAAATATTCCACCCTTCCAGGACTTTCAGCAACCCTCTTCAAGGCCAGTATCCTAGTCCAAAGAGGAAGCTCAGCCTCCCCCAATTCCCTGAGTTCACAGTTATTCAACGCTCTAAGCCCACCTGGCCCTGCCCAAGAAAAGGAGCAATCATGGTCCTGGGAGGGCAGGACTTCCTGTGCGGGAGAAGAAGCCAGGCTTTCAGTCCTAACAGAATGATTTCCCTGTCAAAGAGAAGCTGGTTTTGCAAAAGGCTAGGGTCTAAAGGAAGGTGGAACTGTCTTTTAGGCACCTCCAGCAGACCTCCTACAGACCCATGATCCTGATGGCTGAGTCCAGGGCCTTCTACCCCTGCGTACAACTCAGAGCGTCCCATAGACGCTGACTTTGGCCAGGGAGATGCTCTCTGTGTATTGGTTCAGGCCTTTCTCATACAGGACGTAGAGCTGGGGGGCCTGGTCCTCCCTGCCCACACTGCCCTCCAGGGTTGCCAGCGCGGAGTAGCCACTGGGTCCTGGCCACAGCTGGACTGTCTCTTTCCGCCATGAGGTCCCATTGCTGAAGCTCCAGCGCAGGGTCAGGTTCACTCCTGGGGAGAGTAGTAGAGTCAGGGAGAGAAGGGTCTCTGCCCAGGCCTTCTTTAGATAACAGGGGCTCCCCTTCAGACCCCACTGGCAGACACTCACGGAACTCTGGATGGGCTGGATTGGAGAAGAAGATGATGCCAGAGTTGGTGGCTACAGCTCCTGCAGCTACCACAGGGTCCACAAGCTCAGGGTCGAAGGTCACATCACGGGTCCTCAGTGTATCACAGGCATCGTAGCTACGGAGGATGATTCGGCAGTGGCAGTGGTAGTTGTTCTGGTTCCGGGCGTTGATGACGACTGAGCCGTCCGGAAGCTCATAGGGCTGAGGAGACAGAACAGGGCATCAGGACAACCCAGGGAGGGGGCAGGGCCTGCCCTGCCTCTGAGGAAGCAAGGCTTCGTGGCATAGAGCTGGGCAGCCGGACCCTGGGTCTGTGAGTGAATGGTGCTCTGGAGGACAGGGCAGGTGGAGTAGGCGGGGAACAGCCCATGGACTCCTGACCTGGCATTCATCAGGGTTGAAATCGTTTTTCTGCTTGGGCTGGCCATAGGGGATGCCTCTGATCCCATTCCCATAGCGCCAGGAGGCGCCATGATCATCACTGAGGAGGCAGAAGACCCCATCCCGCTCCAGCGACCCGTGGCCACACACGATGAGGCGGCCCTTCCGCGGCTCCCGCTGTTTCTGTGGGAGAAGGAACTGGCGTCACAGAAGGAGACACTGAGGGGGCTCAGAGGCAGGGAAGGGGAACCCACCACCTCCTAAGTGTGAGGACACATCTGGTCCCCTTCAGTTCTGTCCTCGCTCACTGAGTGGTCTCAGAAGGATCCCACAAACACCCACTGCCTGAATTAAGAAGCTCTTTTACAGAATAAGCTCCTTCAGGACATCCAGGGCGTACAATGGACAGATTGTGCTCAGAACAAGGGGGCTCGCCACAGGGGTGCATAGGAGCTTAAACCCAACCTGTGCTCACTCACCAAGCCATGCACCACGGCACAGGCTTCTGTCTGCTCAAAGGAAGGAGTGCCTTTTTCTATTTTGCACAGGCACCACATGGACTAGTGCAGCCCTGTTGACAACCCCCAAATGGGAAGCCAGTGGCAAAGTTCCATCTGCCCTTGGTAGGATGTTCCTCCCAGGATATCCCTTTCTTCCAAGGAATCCCATCTAAGACAGAAAATTTGACTTCACAGGACTTTCTTCTTGGGAAGGAGTGCATTTGGGGGCATCACCCAGACTCTCCACAAGGCAGCCCCCTCCACCCATCTCAGGACAGAGACCTGAATGCCTGAGCCTGGTCCAGGGGCAAACACTTCAGTGCCGATATCCAAGGAGAGGTTCCGGGGTGAGCTCCAGGAAACACCGTCATCCTTGCTCCACACCAACATGGTGGAGGCCACCTGGCAGCCAGCCTTGTGAGCACAGAGGGAGTAGAAAAGGAACACTATTCCTGTCTCCGTATCGCTCACCACTGCTCCCAGGTTCAGCCCATCTGGGGTCTCCCCATCATCCACAATGAAGGCTGTAGGAGACCATGTGCTGCCTGAAGAAAAAAACGAAGAAACCCAGGGTGAGTACTCTGGAAGGTGCCCTTTCCACCGATCCCTGTTAATTTCCACTTCCTGCTAGGGACCCAAGGCCTTAGAATGGCCCCAGGACCCTGTAAGACCTGCTCCTCCTTACCATTCTGACCTCATCTATTCTACCCTTGCTCACTCCATCCAGCCACACAAGCTCCTTCCCAGTCCTCAAATACTTCCCTCCTCGAGGCCTCTGCATAGACCTGTGACATTTGCCGGCGGCACTCTTCTCCCAGGCTCACTCCTTTACCTCCTTCAAGTCTTTGCTCAAATGTCACCTATTTGAAACTGCAACTGAACTCTGGCACTCCCCATACCTCTTGCCCTGTTTTATTTTTCTCCATTGCATTTATCACCTTCCAACATAAAAACAAACAAACACACCTTATTATGCTTATTGTCTGTCTCCCCACAATAGAATATAGGCCCCATGAGGACAGGGATTTTTGGTCTGTCTTGTTCATAACTGTATTCACAGAACCTAGAATAGTGCCTGATACATAGTAGATGTTCAATAAATGTTTGAATGAATGGTCAACTCCTAGGTGATCTCAATTTCCAGATCACTGCCCTGGATAGCTTCCTCCCTTAAGTTCCCTCCACCTCTGGGGACCCAGGCCTCCAGTCCTCCAAGTTCCCCTATCCTCAGGGCCCTTGGGCAGGTCAGGCTCTCCATCCATCCAACCCAGCACCAGCACTTGCCACCCAGACGTCTTTATACCCTGGTCCATGGACCTCCGCAGAGCAATAAACTTGGCCCCCTGATCCGATGAGGACATTTTTCTGGCTTCAGCGAAGGCAAGCAGAGTGCCCTGGGGAGTGGCTGTGATGAGCGGGATGCGGAAGGTGTCCACAGAGCCTATCTGCTTCCCGCTCACCCACAGCAGCTGCTCCAGGGTCACCAGCGGCTGAACCTGTGAAGGGAGGAGGGAGGGTCAACACGAACAAATTTGACTTGGGGTTTTAGGACGACGAATAGCGGCTTGGAGTCGAGAGAGGTAGGGTGTTGGCGATCCCGAGTCCCAGAACAAGGAAGGGGAACCCGAAAGTCTGGAGCCAAACTGGGGGCTCGGAGAGAGGAAGGGGCTACGAGGGAGGAAGGAGCCCTCAAGGAGCGGGGGCATCTCAAAAGGGGAAGGAGCTCCAATGAAGAGGAGACGAGGACGGGACCCGGAGAGGGAGAGGGCTTGACAGTGGGTGGAGGGCACGCAGTCTGAGAGCCGCGGGAGAGTCCCGAGGAGGAGAAGGGGCTCAGCAGCCCGCGTCCCGCGGGACACCGGGCATAGACTGTCCGCGTGGGTCGGGGATGGGGCTATACGAGGGTTGACACTCACCAGATCGAAGTCGTTCCCCGCCGTAGTTCCGAATCCTGCTAGAGACAACAGCAGCAGGAAGATCGCGGCAAATACCGGAACCCTACAGACTCCCCAGAACCCCAGCATCCGCGGTTCCCCAGGTCTGCCCCGGAGCACTGTTCCGGGCCGCTCCGCCATGATCTCTGCCCAAGGCGGCCGCGACCCTGGCCCCCAAGACTGGACGCCGGCGGCAGTCCGTCAGCTGATATCCGAGCCCTTTAAACGCTCAGGTACTCCCAACGCCTCCCCACTCCCCCGCCGACCTTCTGCGATTCTAATTGGCTCTCGTACACTCCGACTCCCCACGTGACCCTTCAGCCTCTGAGCTAGCCCTTCCAATTGGCTCTCTTTGAAGTCCCGGAGCGCGTGACCCGGGCGGGAAGATTATTGGCCGAGGTGAAGATGGGCGGGCATTACTTCGGAAGAGCCTTCTTATTGGCCGCGGCACCTAGACTGCATCATAGGGGCGGGGCCTATTTTAAAGAGCCAGGCTGGGGGGAAAAAAATGGGCATCGGGTTGTCATGGAGGGAATAAAAGTCCCAGACTTTTTGAGAAAAGAAAACATAATTTTTAATAAAATCTTTTTACTACAAAATCGGGATCTGGAAGGCGGATGAGGCTATGAGGCTGTACAGGCAGGGTGCAGCTTTGGCTCAGGGCTGCATCTCTCACTTCTTCCTCTTCTTGTCCCTCGCGGGCGCCTCGTTCTTCTTGCCCAGAATCTTCAGAAGGGACTTGGACATGTAATAGGGCCGGTCCAGGGAGCCGTCGTTCCGCTCCAGATCCTCCACTGAGCCGCAACATAGACCCGTTAGAGCGGACCCTTGGGGGGCCACAAGCACTCCCCGGGAAAATCTGGGACTAAGAGACAGGCTGCCTGGTTTCCAGGCTGCACCACCACCGGCTGTTTTTTTCAAGCAGGTTTTGTAATCTACTGGGCAGGTTATATAATCTCAGTTTCCTCATCTGTAAAGTGGGGTCAATAATACTATACTTCATAGTGTAATAAGGATTAACGGAAAAAATGCATGTCAATCCGTTAGCGCAGAGTCTGAATTTATACAGTAGGTTTAGAAAATCCCCACTCACTGCAGCCACCTGCTGGGAAGTCTCTTGTGGCTAACTTCTACCCCAGATTTTCTAGGGGAAGTTACCCGAGGCCTCTGCCCTGGGATGCTCTTTCTTGGGAGAACCTCCCGGCCTGGGAGCTCCTTCCTCCTTTCTTCCCCAAACCCCTGGCCTGAGGATGCCAGAAGAGGCTCCCTTTGGCTCTGGTTCCTTTAACTCACAAAGTCGCTGTTTCTGGAAACACCGAGTTTTCGAAAAAGCCTGAACAGTCTGGTACCTTGAAGTTGGGGGAGGAGGTGGGGAGTGTCACTCACAGAAACAGAGGAAGAGCGTGTCTACACACATGCCAAAAACGCTGAAGAAGCCGCTGGCGATGACATAGGCCCCTACGATGGAGGTCTGGAAGACACGAGGCCTGTTAGGGTTCCTTTGGGGAGTTGAGGGGTGAGGCAGAGTAGGGGGAGTCACTCACCATGATGGGCAGCCAGTAATAGTTGAGTTGGGGGTTCTCAAAGTCTTTACCCAGCCCCTGGATGCGACCGGTGAAAAAAAAGAAGGACAGGACTCCTGTGGAAGAGGTCTGGAGGTCAGTGTGGAAGAGGTCTGGAGGTCAGTGTCACTTCCCAGAGGTTATCTCTTCAGCCACCCAGCACCCCTGCGCTCTGTCCCTGTAACTCCCAGCCCTGGTCCTTACCAACACCTCCAACCACCAGCAGCTTCCCGAAGAACAGCAGCAGATCTGTGACTTTGTCCAGGACCACCACCCTGTACGGGGAGTTGGGGTAGGTTGGGGGTGACAGGCCTGGCAGGGCTGGGAGCAGAGCTGGCTATATAATTTGCCAGTACAGATGCAAAATGAAAACTGTTCACATTTCAAGATGGAGGCAGCAGAGCATTAAACCAAGCTTGAGGCCCTTCTAAGCACAGCATGCCCATGAAGCCGGGTTGGGTGGGAAATCATGGGGGTGAGAGACAGCCTGACCTGACAATGTTCCGCATGAGCAACATGAAGGCGTTTTTGGCTGAGACACAGAAATTCTTCCCATAGACGGCGATCTAGGTGAAGCAGAAGGGTCAGAGTTACCCGTGGAGAGCTCACCTGGGCCAAGGGGCCCTGGAGCAAGTGGTTGCTCACACAGTGGGGCTCACCATGATGTATGCATTGCGGTTCAGGAACTTGATGAACTTTTCCAGACACCAGAGGCAGCACTTGAAGCAGCACATGATGCAGCGCGTCACAGGGTTCTGGGCTCCTGGGGGTGAGGGGGCTCATGTTTGGACACTAGCCCCTGACATCCCCGCCCAGAGGATCCAGCTGCTCAGCCTGGCCTTCCCCAGCCCCCGAACTCAGCTCACCTCTCAGTTTGTGGTCAATGTACTCAAAGATGACCCGAACTATCTGCACAATGGTCAGGATGAGGGCTCCGAAGGCCAGCGACCCGGTGTGGTAACTTCAGAGGGGTTAGGTAGTCAGAGGCAGCCCCAGTACCTCCGGGACTCCCAGGCTCACAATTCCCAGCCCTCTGTCCCGGGCTTACCGGATTGTGCGGATAAAGGCAGCGCTCAGAGGAAAGGTGGGGATGTCCTGGGGCTTATGGAAGGCCCAGTAGAAGGAGGCAAAGGCCCCAGCCATGACACACTGGCCCAGGGCCAGTACCCAGTTGAGGGTCCAGAATAGCCCCAGGACCCCGTAGATTTGCAAGTTGAAGAGAGAACGTTGTGCCACGCCTTTGGACAAGTAGCTCTGGAAGACGCATGTCAGCCCTGGGCAGGAGGAGTTCACGGGCTGGTCCTGCAGGGGACAGAATAGGTTTAGGCACAGCCTTCAGACCTCATTGTAGAGCCTTGGCCCATTTCCAGCCAGCTCCTGCCACTCCCAGAGTAGAAAGGGAGGGAAGTAGCAGCCTCCCCGGGTTGGGGAGCTGGTTCCTTCCAGGAGTTCCATGTCCAGGTTCAAACTGGGTTCAGTTTGCCTATTGTGTGAGCATAATTAGCTTCCTTCAGTCTCCGGATGGGCACAAGAGCTCCAAGCCTCGATGGTGCAAGGGCACTGTGACCAACGCCTAGCTCTGCCTGGCACTCAGTCAGCAATCCCCTCCAGAGCAGCCTCTGCAACTTCAACCAAAACGTTTTCCAGCAAAACTGAACAGACTGGGCATTAGATGGTATTAAGGAATTATTAACTTTGTTGAGTGTGGTAATGGTACAGTGGTTATGTTTTTGAAAACATCCTGGGCCGGCCCGGTGGCGTGAGCAGTTAAGTGCACGTGTTCCGCTGCGGCGGCCCGAGGTTCCCCGGTTCGGATCCTGGGCACGCACTGATGCACTGCTTGCCAAGCCATGCTGTGGCAGCGTCCCATATAAAGTGGAGGAAGATAGACACAGATGTTAGCCCAGGGCCAGTCTTCCTCAGCAAAAAAAGAGGAGGATTGGCAGATGTTAGCACAGAGCTGATCTCCCCACAAAAAAAAAAAGAAGAAGAAAACATCTTGTTGAGATCCATCCTGATGTATTTACAGGTGAAATGGCACAATGTCCAGAATTTGCCTTAAAAAACTCCAGAAAAAAAATTTGCAGCTGGGGCGGTGCACAGGGAGATAGATGAAACAAGAATAGCAGAAGTTGGAGGTTGTGGAATCCGAGTGTAGGGATTCTCTACATTTGTGTGAGTTTGAAAATTTCCGTAATAAAAAATAAAAAATGCAGAAATAAAAAACAACCCTTTCTAGAAATGTGACCAAAACCTTGATAATTGCTGAAACGGAGTACATGTTTGAAATTTTATGATGAGGAAACCAACCACTTTCCGCTTTGCATGTAATTGTGGGCTTGTGTCAGTCTCCACTGCGAGACCCTGAGCAAGTTCAAAGAAAGAACCAGGTGATCTGGGGCTTTGCATACCCAGTGCCTGCCTCTGGTGTCTGGAAAAGTTTACTCATGGCAGGTCCTGCACAAATCTGAAGGAGCCTCCCGCTTCTTTTTTAGAGTGGGGCTAATGCCTGTGGGCACCGCCCATGGTCCCAGCTCAGATGAGGTGGCCACTTGAAAGCTTTGAGGACAGTAAATGCCCACAGTCCAGTGCCACTCCCTGGGAGCCTCAGGGGGAGAGTTTTGGGTAGCAGCTTCTCTCCCAGGCCCCCCAGGGAGTCCCACTTGCCCGTTGCCTACGGCACTGTGTTCCAAGGAGGAAGACCAACTGTATAATCAGATCTTATCAGAAGCCAGGCATTGTACTAAGCACTTTTTGTGCCCAATGTCATTTAATCTTCTTAGTCACTCTGAGGGACAGGTATTATGATTATCTCCATTGTACAGATAAGTGGACTGAGATCGGGCTGGTGAAGTGGTTAATGGTCCACCTAGCAGAGGAATGTTCTGAGGAGGGGTGAAGTTCTGGTATCTAGCTTCCCCAGGGCCTGGCCCTGTGCCTCCTCTTCCAGCCTAAGTTTCCTTCCCTGCATAATGGTGGCTCAGCGGGGGGAGTACTAGATCTGTAGTCAGCAGACTGGCTCCCTTTCTGGCTCTGCTGGGGGCCTGTTGTGTGACATTGAATGAGCCCCTTGCCCTCTCTGGTCTTCAGTCACCTCTGCATAATGAGGCATTTGGACCAGTAGGCACCTAAGGTCCCCTCGGCCATTTTGGTGCCCCCTTGATGTCCACCCCAAATGCCCTCACCATGGGGTCACATGATTCATTAACTAGCACGCTCTCACAGCCGGGTGCACTGACGTTGGGCGCCCAGAGGACATACTGAGGTTGCCCGGATGTGGCCAGGTAGCCAGAGGGGAGTCAAGGAAAGCATGGTCATATGGGGGTCTCTACAGGTCCCCCCCCGCAGGGACCTCTTCCCAGGGTCTTGTGCAGGTTGTTCCCTGCACAAAGGGGAGTTCAGCCTGGGCTCACTCTTTCAACTCTGCCCAGGTGCAGGACCGTGCCTGCCTGGAGGAAGCAGCACCTTCTTCCAACTGCACTGAAGCACTGTGTGTGGGCGAGTACCGCCTTGTCTCCCCTCCACCCCCCACGGACTCCAGGAGGGCCCGGCTGTGTGGGCAAAGGATACAGAGCAGTCATGGCCCAGTAGGCGATGCAGATGAGCAGGAGGACAAAGGTGACCAGCGGGTAAAACATGGTGGACATCATCTGTCCCACGGCCCTGCAGGGAGATGGAAGCCGTCCACTGGCATGGCCCTGGCCCCCGGCCCCCATGCTTCCTCTCACAGGGCTGACCTGGCAAGGGCCCCACCTCTGCCCTTGCCAGGGGCTGCTCCATCCCCCCAGGCTGAGCACATAGTAGGTGCTCACTGAATGAACCGAATTGAATAAAGCAGGCTCAAGGGACCCTTAGAGGAAACTAGAGTCACAGAGAAGCCACCTGGGGCAGCTTCAGGGAGAGTAAGGCAAGAGAATCCTCGGAGTGTAGTCTCTTGACCCGTCTGGCAAGTGGGTCCTGGTTGGGAGCAAGCTGCTGCTTCTCCTCCCTGCCTGGGTTCCTGCCACCGCACCCAGCAACCACTGCCACTATGCCCAACCCTTATAGAGGGCCATGTCATGTTCTAGGCACTTCAAAGACACTAACTCACTTAATCCTCTTGATAACCCTGCAAGGTAGGAACTATTATGGCCCCCATTTTACAGATGGGTAAATTGAGGCTCAGAAAGGCTAAGTCACACAGCAGTGTTAACCACTGCGCTTGTCTTCCCCTCTCCAGGGCTCCCTGCCATCTTCCCAGCACCTCCATGCCTGGCCCACATCCCTGCCCTCAGCCCCATCTCCATCCCAGGCAGGCCCTGACTTGCTGGCCTCCGTCAGGAGGGCGATGGCGATGCGAATCCGCTGCCGCAGGAAGATGAGCATCAGCAGCAGGATGCCTTCAAGCACAGCCAGCACGATCACTGAGGGTGGACAGGGAGCAAAGGGGCCTGGGTCAGGGCCAGGGCTGGGCATGGCCCAGGGCAGCCCTTGGGCAGCTGGTGATTTGGAGGTGGGCAGAGCACTCACATGCCGCCAGCCAGGTCTCCTGAACGCTGCGGTAGGCGCTGAGGTTGGTGGTGAAGCCCAGCTGGTTGATGGAGGCACCCTCGTCCCGCAGCACTCGGTACTCCTTCCAGCAGTGGTAGATGCCATAGGCCAGCACGCCCAGCACCCCCAGGATCAGCACTAGCACCAGGGGCCCGGCCACCAGGCGCAGAAGCAGGATAAACAGTAGGCTCAGGACCAGAGCCACACCTAGGCCACTGCAGGCAGGGTGAGGTAGATAAGGGTCACTCCTGGCTCTTAAGTCTTTCCCCTTTCAGAGGCCCCCAAATGCTTTCCTCACATCCCCAATACCCCCAGATTAGACCCCCTTTCTCTCATAAATCCTGTTGGGTTTGGGGTCCATTCAGAGCTCTGGCTCCTCCTCCCCTGTCCAAAGTCTCTGTTTCAGACAGTGGGCTAGGGCATAGAGGATCAGGGAGGGGAAAAGAGAAGAATGAGAGACCAGAGGAATCTGGTGACTCACACAAGAATCCAATACCAGGAGTGGGCAAAGTCTTCAAAGATCTTAATACTGATGTCACGGGCATTGATCTTGTCAAGAAGACCACTGTTGGGGAGAGACTGAGTCAGATGGGGCTGTGGGTGGGAAGGGGTGCAGGACAGAGGTGTGGAGGCAGGGGGATGCTCACCTGATCCCCTCGGAGACGGAAGTGTTGCTGATCCCTGAGAGTTCGGGCAGAGTACTATTGGGCCATGGAAAACAACGCCCCAGAGCTGGAGGGAGAGAACAGAGTCCTGGATGGGAGGGCCAGAACTTTGCCTTGAAAGTCTCTGGCCCCCACCCCAGGCCATAGTGCCCTTAGGAGAGGGAAGAGAGATGGGCTCTGCCCCTCTCAGAGGGCTGCTCTTTATTCCGAATGGGAGCTCATGCCCCACGGAGCCCCGTCCACACTTCCTTTGCTGTCTCGTAATACCCCCTCCCCCTCTCCCTGCCACTGCCTGGGTTCAGCCTCTCCTCTACTCTGGCCTGACTCTTACAATGCCTCCACCCTAACCTTGCCACCCATCAATCCCCCCTCTGCCCGAGTGCCAGGGAGACCATGGCTCAGCACAGACCTCATCATTCCATGGCTCTAGAATGAGTGAGCCATGGCTCACTCTGCTGCTCAGATGCCTCCAGAGGCTCTGTCCTGGAGAGTTCCCATGCTCATGGCCAGGCTTCACAGCCCAGCCCGCTGAGCCCAGCCCCTTTGCCCTCACCTCTGTACCTTGGCTCTTGCTGCATCTCTCTCTGAGTACTCTGCCTCCTCCAGAAATCCCATCCACTACTCTCTGTTCAGCTCTACCTCCACCTCACCTCCTCCAGGAAGCCTCTCACCCCATCCCATCTCCTGTGGCTCCTATTATGTGCCTACAGAGTGATTTATCACCACCCTCATGACAACTTTGCCAGGCAGGTTTGCTTTGGCATTTACTTTCTAAAGATGAGGAGACAAGGCTCAGAGAGGTTGAATAATTGTCCTGAGACCACACAGCTGGAAAGTACTGGAATTTAAATCCAGATCTGTCTGACTTTGGAGCATTCATTTGAGATACTTCCTATTGTACTTATGTAGAGAACTGGATATCTTTTCTCATGCTATAATTAAAGATTTTTTTTCTATTAAAAAATGACATTTAGGGGCCGGCTCGGTGGCATAGTGGCTAAGTGCATGCGCTCCACTTCAGAGGCCTGGAGTTTGCAGATTCAGATCCTGGGCACGCACCGATGCACTGCTTGTCAAGCCATGCTGTGGTGGTGTCCCATATAAAGTAAGGGAGGAAGATGGGCACGGATGTTAGCCCAGGGCCAATCTTCCTCGGCAAAAAGAGGAAGATCGGCATCGGATGCCAGCTCAGGGCTGATCTTCCTCACATACACACACACACATACAAAATGACATTTACTCTCGGAAAGAAGAGCATATGGAAAAAAAAAGTCCACTGCGACCCACCACCCGGCCACATTCACTTATAAAATTTGGATGAACATCCTTCCAGTCTGTTTCCTGTGCGCATATGTAAATGTGTGTGTGTAGATTCACCCATGGATATTTTCATGGGATTCTCACGCAGCCTCTTTGTGAACATCTCTGATCTCTCCTAGAATGTAGCTCAAACAGGGAGCAGTTTTCATCTTCCCTGCGTCTATCCCCAGTGCCTGGCACAAAGTAGAGGCTCAGTCAACCCTGATGCTCTGACTGCAGGGTCATGCAGCAGAGAGACAAATGAAGACCTGATGCTAATTCCAATTTTGCTGCAGATCAGCTGTGTGGCTTTACTCTCTCTGGGCCTGGTTTCCTCATTTGAGCAATCAATACAGGACTAGATGATGCCTGAGGAAGGAATGTGGCTTCTCACCTGGAGTGGAAGGGAGGAGGAAACTGGGGCAGAGCTCCTCTGTCAGGCTTTCATGCACTATCTGGGGGGTGGGGGGAGGACAGACAGACACACAGACACAGAGCAGGATGAAGGAGTGAGCCCCCTCACCACCGCCACCACCATCACTAAAGTCATCTACCCAACTGCTTGATGACAGTGATGACTTTAGGGGCAGCGCTCACCATATCCGAAGGCACCCCTGGCAGACAAAAGTTTCTATCTGCAGTGTAGAAGACCTCCCCGACTGTCTGTGAGAGCTGGTTTACTTGCACGGTCCATGCAGCCTCTGGGCAGGAGGACACACACACCTGGGGGCAGAGAGCATGCTGAGGGGCTGGTACCCAGACACTGGGGGAGGTCTGGGCAGAGGCAGGTCCCAGGCTCTGACCTGGGGTGTGGGGCATTGCAGGCCGTTCATAGAGACTGTAATGATGTTGGTGGCCAGGATGCAGTTGAAGATGTTGAAGTACAGGAGATACGGTTTATCTCTGTAAGAGAAGAGGAAGCATGTGCATCAGGGCCTGGTCAGGCGTTGGGGGAGAGGAGGGACTGCCAGGGCCACGTGTTAAGAGTACAGTGGGCCCAGTGTGGCGCAGACACACATCACCCAGCTCCTGGCCGCAGGAAGCTCAGGGCAGCTGGGGAGGTACCAGAGACACTCGAAAGATTTCCCAGAGTAATTCAGCATTGCAACTGCTAACAAATGGTTAAGAGCTTGAACTCTGGAACCAAGTTACCACCCAGATTTATGACCTTGAGCAAGTCACTAATGAGCACAGTCTCATTTCATCACGTGCAAAATAATAATACCTACCTCATAGGATTTAAGTGAGTTTGTATGTGTAATAAGTACACGGCCTGTCCGGAATGTAGTAAACACCGTATAAATGTTAGAGGTTTTGTTATTTGTTCAACGTTTCCTGCATGTGGGGACTGATAGCATCGCTTCTGGGATCATCCTTCCGAGCACCTTGCCCAAGGCCACACAATCAGAATTTACTCAGCTCAGCTGGGGATTCAAACGCCAATCTGTAAACTCTAAAACCCACACACTTAACCGTGACTCTACACTGCCTCCCAGTTCTGGGGTCTCAGAAGCCGACTGCCCAGCAACGATGATTCTCAATGTGGCCTGGAGTGGTGAGATTTAGGGAGGCTGAGGGGAGTGGGAACAACAGGGAAAGGGTCTGGAGCTTGAGTACTGGGGGGTCCCCTGCCTTCCCCACCTCCCCTCCCTCCTGCCCCCTCTTCCTGCCTTCATACTCACTTGTTCACCCCTATCCCGCAGTACGCCCCGGTAGAGTTCCTGGGGTAGAGGACTTGCCGGGGGTCTCCATACACCCAGGCTGGAGACAGAGACACATAGAGATGAGTTAGCAGAGGGGGAGGGCAGGGACTTCAGAGGAGCAGCCGTGGGTATTGTTCCTCCCTCGGTTATTGCCCCCGGCTGCCGCCCCAGCTCTGCGCAGCTGGAAACTCACCCACGAGCCCCACCGCGATGTAACCGAGAATGAAGACAAAGAAGAGGACACAGCAGATGATATCTGTGCAGCCCCTGGGAGAGAAACGGGGGAAGCCTTTGGAGAGGGGGTGCGGGGGGCATGGTCTGGAGGAGTTGTGGGTTGGAGAGCTGGGGAATGCTGAAGAGTGGGGGCAACGGTAGGTTTTATATTTTTATTTTTTTTGTGAGGAAGATCAGCCCTGAGCTAACATCTATGCCAATCCTCCTCTTTTTGTGGAGGAAGACTGGCCCTGCCGGCCCGTGGCTTAGCGGTTAAGTGCACGCGTTCCACTGCTGGCAGCCCGGGGTTTGGATCCCGGGCGTGCACCGACGCACTGCTTCTCCGGCCATGCTGAGGCCGCGTCCCACATACAGCAGCTAGAAGAATGTGCAGCTATGACATACAACTATCTACTGGGGCTTTGGGGGGAAAAAATAAATAAATAAAAAATTATAAAAAAAAAAAAAGAAGACTGGCCCTGGGCCGACATCTGTGCCTATCTTCCTCCACTTTATATGGGACGCTGCCACAGCACAGCCTGACAAGCAGTGCGTCAGTGCGCGTCCTGGATCCGAACTCGGGCCGCCAGCAGCGGAGCACGCTCACAAAACTACTATGACACGGGGCCCAGCCCCGGTTTTATTTTTTTAAGAAAATCTTTTTCCAGGTGGTAAACTTTCTTCTGAAGTATAACAGAAAAGTACACAACTCTTAAGTGCTCAGCTGGATGCATTTCCCCAAAGGGCTCATGCCGGTGTGGCCAGCTCCCAGGTCAAGAGACAGAACATCACCAGCGTCCCGGAAGCCCCCGTGTGCCCCCTCCATACATGACAATCTCTCCACTCTCCTGGGGCAGGAGTTTTCTTTTTCACAAGCTTCTTACCAATATTTCAGCAAATACAAAGCTAAACCAAGACATACACCTGCTCGCAGCAGCGCAGTGCCTAGAACTCACCTGTTCTTGATAGGGCCTCGAAAGGAGGGGTCATATTTGACTGGTTTCCCTGAGGGACATGGAGAGGAATGTGGAAAGTGAGGCACCGAGAGGAGTCCTTTCCCTCTTTCCTGTCCCTCCCAAGTCCTTCTCTGCCCCAAGGTCCTCCCTGACCCTCAAGATCCTCCTCGGCCCTCAGGAGTTGGAGGGAGACAGACAGGCAGGGCTGGCAGGGGAGGATTTGGAGAGCTGGAGAGGTAGGATCAAGGCCTGGTCAACAGCTGGAATGCTCACCGTGAACTCCACCCTGGGGCCTTGGAGGGAGGCGAAAGGGGAGGCTTTAGGGGTCATTTCTGACTCACAACTCAAGGCTGTCAGCAGGGAAATAGCCCTCGCCTCCTGCCCCCACCCTGGCCCATTTCTCCTGAGTCTCCCTCCAGCTGGGATATGGGACATATCCAGCCATCCATCTCAGCCATCTCAGTGGCCCTCATGTCCCCATCCTTGTCCCTCTCCCCTTCCTGTACCCTGCCCAGGGTGGGCACAGATCCAGAGCCCCTCAGGGAGGTCACAGCCCCTCCCCACATCTGCCCCAGGCCCTACCTCCACCCTCTGGCCTGAGGCCATGGGGAACGAAATTGGAGCCAAAGGCATCAACCCTTGTGGGGCCTGGGGAGGAAGGGGCCCCCCTGTAGACCTCCACCCGAAGGGACCTCAGTTCCCAGGCCACTGGCAGTCTCTGGGCGAGCAGTAAGAGTGACACCTGAGCCCTCTGGTTGAGATTGTGGCCATGTCCTGTTCCGGGTCCTCCCTGAGTACACACAGGGAGTAGGTGGGGCCAGGCAGCCAGGGTCCGTGTGGGCACTGAGGAGGGAGGGTGGAGGGCTGGGCAAGAGTGTGGCAGGGGTGGGGTCCTTTCTCCCCAGGTGCTCTGGACTCTGTTCCTCCATGGCTCTTGGACATGAGATCAATGATTGACCCAAAGCTGTTCCAGGAAGTCTCCTGGGAAGTCCTCACTGCTACTTCCCTTAGACCCCTTTGGGGCCCAAGCTTTGCGTCTGGGAGGCCTCTCGCTTGGGGTTCCCTACCCTCCAGACCAGGAGCTCAGACCCCCAAGCCCCAAGCGACCTCTGCAGGCAGACCCCTAGCCCTTATTGCTTACAGGGATCCCAGAGGTTCATCCCCATTCCCTCTTCCCTCAGGCTACCACCCCTAATCCTTGGGATCCCTGGGACGGGCCCCCAGTCCTTGTTCCTCACAGAGATTCTGGAGACAGGCTCCCTGTTCCTTCTCCCCTCAGGCCTTACTCTTCACAGGGACACCAGAAGGCCCCTGCCCCTATTCCTCAAGGTACCCGAAGACAGGCTCCCACTCCTAACAGAGACCCCAGAGGCAGGCCCCAACCCCATCTCCACAAAGACCTACAGCCCCAACTCCTCACAGGGACCCCCTGCCACTGCTCAGAGACCCCGGCAGGCAGTACCTTTTCCCCCTCAGAGACCCAGAATCCAGGCTGAAACTCCTCCTCCTCAGGAGGAGGAACTCCAGCTGTTCCTCCTGAAAGGGGCTCAGACCCCAGCTTCACCCGTCGAAGGCAGGCTCCGCAGAACATGACACTCCCAGCCCCTGAGACTCAGCCCCCTGCTCAGGATCCTGACCCTGCCTCCTTCCATTCAGGCTTTGCTTCCCTGGGCCCTGCCCTGAGGGACTCAGAGTCCAGGCCTAAATCCCCTTCTTCCTAGGAACTCCAGCCCCAACTCTTCATGGAGACCCCAGCTTCACTCCTCAAGGGCTCTCCAGCAACAAACTCCAGCCCCTGAACCCCGTCTTCCTCCCAGGACCCTGTCTCTGCCTCCTTCCATCAGCTCCTTTCCAGGGCCCTCCCCTCAGGGACTCAGGACTCCCCTTAGCTCCTTTTCCTGGGGCCAGCCCCAGCCACCCTTCCCTGATGTGGGCCAAGGCAGGCGTCCCCTCCCTCCACACGGTCTGGGGCCTCCACCCCAGCCTCTGCCCCCAGCCTCACCATAGGCCTCGTTCTCGTCCCCGTCCTGCTTTCCCCCCATGGCTCAGTCTCCGGAGTGATTGGAGCCTTGGAGACCTGGCGACTCACCTGCCGCCCGCTCCGCCCCGCCACACGTCACAGCCCCACCTCCGCCTGTGGTCCCCGACACACTCTAGTTCCTCCTTCTCAACTCAGTGCCAGAGGGCGGGAACGCCGAGCGTGGGACAGGGGCTCAAGGCTGCTTGCTGCAGGCCTATGGACCATGGCCTGGAGGACTTTACTCGCTCTAAGAAAATCCTTCATAGTTTTGCAAACAACCTCAACTATGGTACACTTACAGCTACGCCCTCCCGCCAATGATTAAGTGTCGAGATTTGCCTTTTACCCCTTGACTAGGTCCTGCTCACAGTGGTCCCCCTACAAAACAACCCTCCCCTCCCACTGGGTGGCTGTCCGCACCAGCCACACCTGTCCAGCCTGCTTCCCAGCCACTCTGCCCCTTGGACACACATTCCCTCTGGGTGTGTGTGCTTCCTCCCCAACTCCCCCCCCAAAACCATCACCCAGTTATTACCAAACCCAACATTTATTGAGAACAAAGGAAACCAGTTGGTATAGAGACCCATTTCAATTCATCAATCTTCAGCAATGGGGAACAGGGGGCTGGCCAGCCCTGAAATCACCATCACAGGGAGGAACCAGCTTTGGGAGAGAGGCTGTCAGACCTCCAGGGCCTGGCTGGGGTCTCTGGCCGAGGAATGTGTGAAGGGGTAGGGGGAGAAGAGATGGCAGCACCCCCAGGTGTGGACAGTGAGCAGCAAGTGGCAGAAGTGGCTGCTGAGCTGGTGGCCATCCAGGGGTGGGGAGGGAAGGGTGTGGTCCGCTCTCAGGGGTTGACAGGGGGCAGGGAGCTGAGCTCAGGCAGCAGCTCAGGGTGGGGGTCCAGGCGGGCCAGGCGGCTCTGCTCCAGGGCAATGGCCTCGGCTGAGTGCTTGCACTTCTCAGAGCCACACTGGCAGGTGAAATATTTGCTTTTGATGTCCCAGAAGCGGTCGCCATAGTCAAACCTGTCAGAGGAACACAAGGGGCTTGTGGGACCCAGACCCAGCTGCCCAGGCCCACCCCAAAGCACCCACCCCCACTCTTCTCCCAACAGGCTCTAAGCCCTCGTATGTTCTATGGACCTGCAGCACCAGCACTGCTCGGGAACTTGTCAGAAATCCAGTCTTGAGCCCCATCCCAAATCTACGGCATCAATTTCTCTGGGAGGATTAGGACTCTGTTTACACCACCGTCTGGAAAGCTCTGCTCTAATCCAGGCCTGGAAATCAGGTGCTCTTCAGCCTTCAGCTACTGGTCCCGGGCTTGCTGCATCTCCCATACCCCTGGTCTCACCCCAGGACGCCTCACCCCAGGACGCCTCACCCCAGCTCCTCCCCAGTCCGGATGTCTCGGGAACTGAAGAAGGCAATACGTGGAAATCGCAGGTCTTGGTGCAGCATGAAGACCCGGACGGGGATGATGTTGGGGTCACACAGGTGGTTGATGAAGCGGCTGATGTTGCCATAGTAACGAGCATCAATGCAGTACACCTCTCCATCCTGAGGGGAGGGCGTCACTCTTCACATCTGCCAACATCCTGCTTGCCTGGCCAACCTCCCCACCCACTGACCACCCAGTCCCTCTCTGCCAGGTTTCCATCTGCTGACTGGGAATAGGGGGATGGAGGGGCCTCCTGCTCACCTTGTTGTCCAAGTCGAAGAGATAAGAATCATCCTCTCTCACATCGGCCTCAGCATCAGAGATCAGCTCCCCGACATATCTGGGGGGCAGGAAGAGGTGGTTGTTAAGATGACCAGGCCGTCTCTCCTCACAACCCCAAGGAATCCTCTTCCACTCTTCGTCAGCTGCCCCAGTCAGCGTCCGTGAATGTCACAGATCAACACGGCTGAGGCTGGGCTGGGCGACCAGGACATAGTGGGCCCGGAGGACAGAGGCATCATCTGGGGGAGGGGGGCAGGAGAAGGGTGGCTCCCCTCCAGAGGGGGGTCAGGAGGAGGAACATGGGGACATACGCATGTGAGGGGACAACACAGGACACACTCCTGCCAGTTGGGGTCCCCACTGGACAGCTGGAGAGGCAGTGGTAGGAAAGGTAAAGGGAAGGGCTTGAGCTATGCCAGGGGAAGCAGCGGGCAAGCACGGACATGCCAAGACTCTGGGGTTAAGGGGTTAGTATCTGCAGCCAGTTGGCTTGGGTGGGGAAATCCGGTCAGGTTTAGACACTGGGAGGTTTGTGAACTAGGAATCACCCAGCAGGTGATGGCGATGCTGGGCTGAAGGACAGGAGAGGGGGCAGGGCTGCAGGAAGGGACGGAGCCATAGGAGCTGTGAAGAACTCCAGGAAAGAGCCAAGAATGAGGACCTCACATTCGGAAAGCAGAGGGAGAGGAGCTGGAGGAGAGGAAGAATGGATGCGTCGGAGGTGAGGACAGTGTCATGGGAGCCAGAGCTAACGGGGGTGGCAGAAGCCAAGAGAATGAGGACCAAGATACTCAGGTTGGGGTCGGGGGGCAGCATCAGCCGAAGGGTAAGGAGGGCAGAGGCAGAGTTGGGCAGGAATGAGCAGTGAGTGGATGGTGGGGAAACGGGCCCAGGAAGAAGGGGCCACTTGTCTGGGAAGTTGGGAGATGACATGACAGAGAAAATGGATGGTCCCTTACATACACAAAGGAGGCTGAGGGCTTGTTTTTTTAAAGGCCAAAGGAGACCGAGATTAAGTTTGAAGGCCCTGGGGTAGGAGCCAGGGGGAGGTTACAGATGCTGGTCAGAGAAAGAACTGACGGAGAGGGATGAGGCCCCTGAGGAGGTGGACAGAAAGGCACCCGTTATCACCTCCATTTTGACAAGAAAAATGAGGCTCAAAGAGGTTAAATAACTTAGCCAAGGACACCCAGCGGCAGAGCAGGGCTCAGACCTAGGTCTGTCTCCAAAACTGGTGCTTACCCCAGCTGGAAGGGCAGGGAAGAGGGTGTATGAGGCTGGGAAATATACCGAGGGGGAGGGGAGGAGGGAAGATACAGGCAGTGGTGACACCCCCCAGTCTGGGCAGAGTAGAGGCAGGTGTGGTCCTTGGCTGTGGGGAGGGGAGTCGGGAGGCTGGCCGGAGAGGGGGCAGCGAGAAGAGGTGGGACCTGTCAGGGACCAGGCCAGAGAGGGAGGCTTGGGAGTCAGCAGTGGCCATGCACCCATCCTCTCACCCGCAGGAGCCAAGGGACCCCCTACTCACTCGCAGATGAAGGTCCCCTGGGGGATGGTCTGCAGGGCACGGACCCCCCAGCCCATCTTCGCTGTTCGGTAGAGCTGCAGTCGCACCCTGGGGGTGGGAGAGAGGGTGATGTTGGGTGGAGGGACCTGGAAGCGCCCCACGGAAGGGGAGAAAGGGGGGTGAGGAGGGGTGAGGGCGGGGCCTCACTTGATGCCGCTCTGTACTACGCGGTTCTTGCAGTTCCTCCAGCAGGAGCACGCCTGGTTACACTCGAAAATCAGTGGGGGCTCGATCTTGTTAAATTCCTGCAGCAGCCGCCCGTCCTGGGGTTGAGGGGGGAGGACAGTGTGGTGTCCACCTCAGCTGTCCAGGACTTCCAAGACTCCAGAGAAAGGGAGGATGGGCTGGGGGAGGCCACAGATGCTCCGAGTTTGGCCAACAGGAAGTACACAACCATCCCCTTGATTTGCATGTACCTGGGCCAGGCCCATGTCTGTCCGGGAATCCCAGGTCCTGCCCTGCCCTGTCTGCCACTTCCCCCCACAGGGCAGGAGGTGAGGGACAAGGTCCCAGGGAGTTGGCGTTCTTTAGAGGCCAACTTCTCCGAGGGAGTGGCCAGGGCAAGGGCACACACCTTATCATACCAGCAGCGGATGCTGAGCTGGCCGCACAGGCAGTTGGAGCTGGAGCAGTCGTCCACACACGTGCAGTGCTGGGGGGGAGTCAGACATCAGCTCAACCCCCCGAACCGGCCTTGGCCCCTCAGCTCCTGGTGCTCCCTGCCCCCCAGCTGCTGTCCTTTCTCTAGGGTCCGTTTTACGACAGCAGGTGGTGATGGTCCCGGGTGAAGGAGAATCAAGATGTTGCTGACGGGGGTGTCCCCAGGGCTACCATGAACCCACATGACACCTTCATGTGTTCTAGGAAAAGGACCCCTTCCCCAGGTGGACCCAAGCCCACACCAGAGCTCCCTTTCAGCCCCTTCCCCTGCCAGCTGCCCTTGTTGGCCCACAACTTGCCCAACTGTACTGGGCAGCTCTGGGCATCCCTCTGGGAGGACCCAGCCCCCCGCTCACCTGCAGGTGGGTGATGTTGCGGTCGATGTTCATGGTGGACGTCTCGCAGTTCTCCGAGATGTACTTGTAATCCTCGGGGCAGGGCTCCCCGTCCACACCATTGACACAGGGAATGGGCACATTCTCGTAGCCCCGAGCCACATCCCTGGAGGAAGGGAGACGGGGCTGGGGGGCTAGAGCATGGGGCGAGCGGCTACCCTGGGTGCAAGAAGAGGGCTGGGAGGTTCCTGAGGTCTGGGGAGGGGGCTGCAGGAGGGAAGGGGTGGTTCTGGGGGTACATCAGGGTGTGGGGAGTTAAGGTTGCCAGATAAAACGCAGGATATTCAGTTAAATTTGGATATCAGACAAATGAGAAAAAATTTTTTAGCATAGATATGTCCCAAATACTGCATGGGACACTCTTACACTAAAAAAGCATGCACTGCTCATCTGAGATTCTAATTTAACTAGCTGTTCTCTATTTTTATTTGCTGTATCTGGCGGCCCTAGTCAGGGTGTAGCCAGACGTGGTTCTGGGGACTCAGTGGGGCATAGGAAGGTCTGGGGGACATTCTGAGGGTTCAGTGGGGCCTGGGGAGGGGTGGGAGGTGGTCTGGGTGCAGAGAGGTCCGGGGCTCACCGGCAGATGATCCTCTCAGTGCGGATGGCCCGATTTCCCACCCCGAGCCGAAGCTTGCGGTTGAGCTGGAGTGCAAACCACACATCGGAGCGCTCAGGAGTCAGGTCCCATGCTGTGTCCCCCTCCTTGTTCCGCAGTTCAGGGTTCGCCCCACG